TTGTTGGGGTAGGCTCTGGCTTCCCCCCGACCCTGTATTAGATATAGCAGTTAAAAATGGGTTGATATAAACATTAGTTTTAGAATAATATTTTTATCATGTATGTGATACATTTTCTCGTGATTTTAATATGCTTTTAATGTATTTGAATAAATATATTTTAGCATTATTAGATTACCTCATAAAATTGAAAGTGATATAATATATACATTGATGTAACAGGCATGTCTACATTTGTAATCACTTCTAAGGCATGGAAAGTTTCCTTTCAATTGCAAAACAGCCTCTAATATATTTAATATCAACAGTTCAAAGTAGAAGGTAATATCTTTTGTCCCCTCCCACTGTGATCATGTCAGCTTTGCTGCCATATTTGATTTGTCTGTATTGATAGTCTGCAAAAGTGCTTCAGATACAGTAAGCCGTTCTTGCATTATCGCTTTTGCTTTCTGGCACTGTGCTCTAAGAGTGTACACTGTCAATTTGTTCCTTGACACTCCAGTATTATTCTGCCACCATACACGGATTCATGGCTATGGCTGCTGCTTTCCTCTTTCCACTCGAGCTGGCTATTTTCTCTCTAAAAGCCCTATCTTGCCTAGACAACATGTTACTCAAACGTCTTGCTAGAGCTTTGCCTGGATTTGCTTTGCACTTGCGTCTTTTCTCTGACTCCACCAGAGTAGTTAGAACACCTAGTGCCTTAGCCCGCTGGTTAATCACTCTATATCACCTTTGCATCTGCTTGATGCAAAACTGGGTGACAGCTTCTCAGCTACAGTACATCTCTCATGGACTTAGTCTGCAATCCTGTCCTTCAGCCCTGGAGATGCTATCATGTCCTGGGAGAATAAACAGAGGCCCAGGAACAATATACGTTGCACTGGTATGAGGCGACTCTTGTGTTGTTGACCAAGAGACAAGACTAGAGTTCTGGAAAGAGAGTTGGTGTTCACAGAGCTCTTACTTTGAAGTGAGGGTTTTTTGTGAGCTTTTTCCAACACAAGATACAAAACGGAAATAAGAATAACCATTCTCAGTAACAGTACAGCAGTTACATAAACATTTGGTACCATCTTGAACTATATGTGCATATAATTATATAACGTAATGACAGAAAAAGTTCAAATGAAATAAACAATACAAAAGTAAATTTCCCCATCTGAGAAAAACAATGAAACCATGTAAGAAGGAAAGAGTACTACAAAAAAATGTACATATAGTATAATGGTGTTGTTGGATTACTGTATTACAAATAAACTTAGGAAAAGATAATTGCCAATTTCGGTTGTTTTAAAAAAAATAGATCTCAGTGTTTAATATTTGTGTGGCAGTTTATTCTTTATGTCTTGAGATTTTGTGTTTACTTTACATTCAAACAAAAGGAATTGATCAATATATTTAGGAAAAAAATAATGTCATTCTCTTAAATTATCATGCTGGGTACTTCCCAGAACACAATTTTTCTGCACACAAGGGACACTTTTACATAAGACAAACGGATGTTCCTTAATATTCATCAGAAATATTCCAGAAGAAAATGCAAATTTTAATCAAAAACTGAAATATACAAAATATAAGTAGAGTAACTACTGTATATACAGTACTTAGTTTAAGTAATAGTACAGGTATAGTAACACCACTATACTTCGTATAGTATATAACGTAGATATCACACAAGACTTATATTTCTTATCAAGGCTGTAGTTAAATTTGACCTGAAGATCTCTACATTCTGCACCCTGGTGTGAGATTCCGTCACAGATAAAATTCCCTCTGGATAAACCCTTGGACTGCAAACTGTGAAAATCCTTTCCATGTAAGACTTTTTTTAAACAAAACTACTGTGAAGAACTGCATCAGTTCAGATCGAAAATTGAAGTTATATAAAATAGGCAAAACAGGTTGGAGCTTTATTTAATTCATGGTGTGAAAAAAATAATGGTAGTTTACCTTGAAGTGAAAAAAGTTGATCTCCACAGGACTGAATTCTCTTTCAGTGAAACCCCAGCTGTCTGAGAAAGTAGGTCACAGAGAGACGCACAGGCAGTTTGTTAGGATTTTAAGACTCTCTGGATATGGTTGTGTAACAGGACCGTTTATAGAATTTCAGTATCTGAGATTTTTCCAAGCTTATTCAGCAATTTGTTTAAGGTCTGCAAGGTTCTCAAGGGTCTCCTTTGTAGCAAATTGCACCAATGTGTGTTTACTCTAACTAGTAATGTCTGTTGTTAACTGAAGATTTACTTCCAAATTTTTTAATTTATCACTGACTGACCCCAAAATGTGGGATACTTATAATTGACTACGCCACCTGGTAATTTTAAAGGTGCTACAATCTCTTTTCCCCCTACAACTGGTGCTTTGTGCACAGACCAACTTAAGGCAATACTACATAACTGTCTTTTATTACTATAACTCATAATACCTAATACTACCTAATGCAATGGACACACACTCACAATGGCAAATGAACACCAACAACCTCAGTATCCCAAAACCAATGTCCCAGAAGAGAAGTCCCATATCATTATTCTCCCAAAACTCCTCCATCTGGTAACCACAGCAGCAAAGGGAGAAATAAAAATCCGTCTAGTCCTTCAGTAATTCTAAGCATGTTCTTCAGCTCTGCCAGTTCCAATCTATTTGTTCCCATTATGCTCCCCCTACCTTGTTTCTCTTCAAGTAATACAAGGTAGAGGAGGAAGACAATGTCTGTGATTTCTTCTGCTGCTCTCTGTATAGTTACAGTCTGGTCCCAATACAGCGCTGAAATGAGGGGCGGGGGTGTCTTGATGATCAAAGGGCAGTATAGGCAAAATTAAAGAGTGGGGTTAATTAATAAAATAACTGCATGCAGAAACCAGGTGTAATGATGTATTATCCATTCCTCTTTGATCCTGTGTTTCATCTGTGTCCGTTTGCTGCAGGACTTGTCCAGCTTGTCTGGCAGTCCCACTGTCTAATGTGTCACCACTGACTGTGTGGTAATTGAATGGTGCCTGGGCAAACAGTAAGTAGTTCAATGTTTGTGGATTGCTAAAAATCAAACTCTTAGCAACATTTATAACTATATAACTCTCTCACATTTATTAGGATCTAACTCAGGAAAACAACTGAAATGGCTGCTGTTTGACACTTGTATGTGACATATGCCACATATGCACTATATGTGGTGGCATTAGACAAGAAAAGGTGAAAAAAAAATCAAAAATTAGTGGCAGAATTGAAATAGCAGAATGTACAAATGTGGATGAAAGTGGTCTTTACGGATGAGTTTAAGCTTTTTGTTGGCAATATTACAGAAAGTAAGACAGTAAAATTCTTTTGCCAGCCACCAGCTAATCATTTATAAAAAAACCACCTGAAAAGCTGTACGAGCCTTATCAGATTCCCTATGTGTATGTGTATCCATTATTGTTTATCAAGTTATCAACTTTATCAAGTTAGATATAGAAAAAAGAACTCAGCTATGTTGATTAATTAATTGGATAAGGTTTGCTTATAGGTGAACTTCTAGTTCTTAAAATCATTTTAACTATCGTATTCGTAATAGAAGAATAATGATGAACGTACTGTATATCAAATAGACAATGTTACCAGACATATTTCCAAGAAAAAAATATACAATTGATTTTTTTTGTTTCAGAGTATTTTCTTTAAATATGTATAATAATAAATGCTCTTTCAAAAACAGATTGATTTAATAATTGTAATAATAAAGAAAAATATCAATGTATCCTGCTTGAGTAATGATAATTGCCTGGTTATTATTGGCATGATGGAAGGCAGCCTGTGTTCTAGAGTAGAAGCCCAGAGAATGAAGTGTTTAGCACAAGAGAATACAGTAGTGTTACAGGAGAAAAGAAACAAGGGACAAGGTAGTTACTTTGCATTGTTTAAGAGTGTGATTGCAGTGGGAATTAAACATTTCCTGAGTCTGTTGGTTTTACACCCGGGGGCACAGAGGCTTCTCTTAGATGGGAGAAGTGTGAATTCTCAATAGAGGGAACTAAGAGGAATAGGTAGACAAGTTGGGGGACAGGACTGACTTTTCTTATAATACAGGGAAAACCGTAGAAGCTTGCAACAGAAGAGAAAACTTAGAGCGAAGACATTTCAAAAGGGTAAAGAGAATTTCAAAACTTTGGTCATTGAATAGGTTGCCTTTTCTCTTTACTGTCCTGCTGACAGTTATGATTAAATTCTAAATCTAACGTGAAAAAAGTGATTGCCAGGGGAGACTGGTCATATACAATGAGAGTGGCCTAGAATGAGAACTTTCCTAGATTGAGAGCAGGGGTGAGCTGGAGGTGAGATTTATCCTAGGGGCTGGCCCTAGAACAACATTCACTTGCATACCCACTAAAGGCAGAGGAAATACCCATCAGCTGGAAAATTGCTATCGTAGAGTCCATTGTGATGCCCTTAGGTGTGTGATAATGCAAGGAAACTACTTTCCCAGGTGGGTCATTGATGTTTTTTCACCACACTAAGATGGCAGTGGACAGAAACTAAGATGTAAGATGGCGGCTTGAAATCATGTCTGGAACTAGGCACAGGTGTATGTCTTGTTCTAGATCATATAAATCCACAGAATGGCCAAACGGGAGCTAATGCTGCAAAAGAAGATTAAACCAAAACTACTCCGATGGGTAAATAGAAAAACCTTATTTTATTATAATTAGCATATTAAAGGAAATAAATATTCTGGAAACTTATATACTAAAAAGAGGCACTACAAAGAGCTATCTGCAGTATACAGTACATATACCAGGATATACTGTACCACTTGCTTACCTCCTCTTGGGAGGTTGTGATACGAGAGGGAGAGAAGGACTGAGAAGACAGAAATAAAAACAACGAGTGGTAGAGTGAAAAGCAATGATAGGATAAAAAAAACTGAGGAAATGAAACTGAGGGAGACAGAAGCACAAGAGGAACCAAAAGTAATAGAACATAAAAAGAAAGGCAGATACAGAGATGTAAGAGAAACCCAAAAGAAAATGCCAAGTCAGCTTACAATGGAGATATATTTGTCTTTAATTTTCAAAACAATATGGAGAGGTTTTTTTTCCAGATTGGGGGGCAGAGTACTCCTGATATTTAGTTAGATGAACAAGTAAGGTAGATTCTCCATCCATGATCTAGGCTTTTTTTTTTCGTTTTGTTTGTTCTGCTGGATTTATGTGTATATAAATAAATCTTCCATTGAACACTTTCCTGTCTCAAGGAACTTTCCTCTCAAGACCAGCTTACTATTGGTCCTGTATGATGACTGCACCACCAGCGGCATCACACCTTCCATGAACAGGCTGAAACTAAGTAATTATAGACCTAGAAGTTCCAGTTTTAATTTAAATCATAATTATAACTAAATGCCATATCTTTTAACTATATAAATCTATGGATTTAAACAGTAAATCTATATGGAGACATGATTACCATTATCAACATGGATTTTAAAACGGCAAGCCGTGCTTAACTAACATGGAGATTATTAAATAAACAACAACAGTAATAGCTAAAAATGGGAAATATAACACAAAACAGAGGCTCAGGCTAGACTTTAACTCAGACATTTTGTGGTGAATGAGCAACATATATTGCCCAGGTTCATCTTATTGACAGGTTATGAGTGATTTTAGCCTTGAGTAGAGAAGACTAAAAGGAATCATATTTATAGTATTCAAAATCCTTAATGACATTCCCAAGCCATGGCATGTATTCCCAGACAGAATCAGTAATGAGGCACAAGAACAGAAGACACAGGCCAAATAGGACAAGGTCTTGTTACAGATTGAGGGCAATCTTGTTTAGTAATATGTTGACAATTTTCTTGTTCCTGCTAGTCTATCATAAGTGTTGTTTTTCTACAGTACAATGTAAGTCTTCTCAGTGCTGGAATCACAATTTTTCTTCTGACTTGAGTCCAATAAAACATGTGTGAACAACACACTAATACCATCAACAGGAGAAATAAACCTTACTGCTCTGTAGCCTGATCTCATCAAATCTTTAAAGCTAAATAAGGCTGTGTCTGGTCAATATTTGACATTTTGACCTTTTTCACAAATCAGAGTAATGCTGTGAATGGATTATGTAGACCAGAAGGTGGTACACATCATTCTGGATCCCATTTTCCACACTATTGTTCCATTATGGTGACAGTGTCCAGTAACAGGTAGTGTCCTTCAGATGATATATTAAAACAATATCTAGACTACTCGGTGATTAACAATGCCATGGCACTGTTTGTAGCGTTAGCTAATATTGGTGTTGGAGATAAATTCCACTTTTGGTCTTATTCAATCTCACCTACCTAAATGTACTTTTTAATACTATTATTGTTTGTTTGATATGCTGTTTGGTTAGCCTGCTGGTAGAGAATGGTTGCTGTGTAACATCTGGGTGCTGTGAATAGATTTTGTGGTTAATAAATTGGGTACACTTTTGTACAGTATGTAAAGTGCATTGGGATGAAAATTGCTATACTGGCAAAACTGAGAGTAAATATTTCAAAATGTTATCATTTTCACTTCACACAGAATACATCATGAGTTTTATATTTGTATTTATTTTTACATTTTCTTGGATTTCATTTGATATTTAAATTAAACTATTTGAATATCAAATCAATAAGCCCTGACTGTTGCATTTTTGTGTATCAGTATATATAGTTTTTGAGTTCTTTATTCTTTTCTAATACAAAACTCTAAAGCTTTATCTCAAACCTCATTCTTACCCTAATAGTGTTCAACCTTTAAGTCCTATCCTTCCTCTTGAAACCCTCAAAGTCCAAACCTATGACCATAACCATAAAATGTACCTGAACCCTTAAACTTGAGCACTCATCCAATAACTTTTAACTTTAGGTCTTACCCTAATGCTAACTATAAAAATCTGCCCCCAACTCTAAACTTAAATATGCGCACAAGCTGTGAAGCCTGAATAACAAATAAGATGCTGTAATCTTGTAGTCTTTATTGTACATGGACCATTTTTATTGAGTGTCCTGCAGATGTAGAAATTTGGGGACATTCTAGCATTTTAATAATATACAGTTTGTCTTAATACACTGGATTAAATTACAAAACTGCAGATGAAACAGTTTTGCTATGAGTCGTTTTCCTAGGAAAACATTTTCCTAGAAAAAGTCCTTACAGGAACATCCTGGTGATATAGGGATATAAGCTTTCTAGTTGTACTTAAAAATTTTACAGCCGTTGCTTGAGCCATCTTCACTCCTCAGATTCAGGGCTGTCATATCCGAGCCTCGAGGCCGAAGGGAAGTGTGCCCAGAAGGTTCTGGCTAATTCATCTATTTTGTCATAGCCAGCATGGTTGCGGAGATTCTCAATCCAGCCAAAGAAGTCAGAAGCACTGTATCCCCAGTTTGGAATGCTGCGTTTGTCACGGGACTCTGCATAAGCAACAGAAAACAGTGGGTCACAACTACTGTACATGCAGTTGTAAGGGAGTTAATGGTTAGGGTTTTGGACTTGTAAGTGAAAGGTTTTGAGTTAAAATCCATAGTGCAGTAGTAAACAAGTTACTATACTCCATTCAAAATGTTTCAACGCAATAACCAACTTCATAAGTTAGTTCTCGTGCAAGCTGCTTTGCATAACAGTGTCATTTTAACAAACTAATAATACAGGATTTTCTTTGTTTTTTTGTTACTTTAAGTCTCTATTCATCAAAAGAAAATGTCCTCTATTAAAATAATGTTTATGAAAACCATCAGGAAGAGTTCATGCCTGGAGTCCTATGCATGTTTATGAATCTTCAGTAGACTGAAGATGCAATAATAGGTGTGAAGTAAAAATACATGTAATTTTGCTGCTTATATTATTAATTTAAGATCTCATTTGGATCCCCCACACAAACAATTGCAAAACCTTATCAAGCACATAAACCCTACAGTATAAGAGCTATACTTCTTCATCTATATGTATATATTTAAAGGAAATACAGTTAGTATACTGGTCTACAATCATCTTCCCCCATATATATATAAGTATATACAGTACTTCATAAAGACTTAATTTTTCTGTTTTGAAATTTCTATTTGATTTGTTGTTTTCATAAAAAAAATACTTAATCAAGCTGCTGGTATGCAATTTACTACAGGAATGAGAAAGTGAGGAACAGCATGATAGATCTGAAGAATGATCTGGGCTAAATACCCCCACTGGTGAATGCTACAGTATTATCATTCATCCTCTCAAAGCCAAAGTGTCCGTTGGACTCCTCCCATGTAACTCCTATGCGGACAACAGTAAAAACAATTCCATACACAATCTTTAAGATATTAAAAGAGTCAAATCTCTATTCATTAAGAAAAAATCATAGGTGGTCTAATTTTATTTTATTTCAATGCACACTCAGTAATTCACATTCTTTGTTATTAAAAATAAAAGTTTTAACAATCAAACTGGGTCCTGTGTGAATACAAAGATAGAGTTATTTGATATTTGTGTTCCAAAGCATTTGTGCTGTAGAAGCCTAAAGAGATTTAAGGTACGCTACTTTTCAATTCACACCAGCAGTGTAGAAATTAATGACCCATAAAGACAATCGAAAGCCTTCAGTTCACTTTATCTGATGTATTTATTGGAAGAGATATCAAGAAAATAGGGGTTCGTCACAAAATGACTAAAAATGAAAAATAGGTATATTGCTTTTTTGTTTATAATTCATATATATTTAACTTGTATAGTGTTTGAAGCAATTTATTGTGTGTAAATATGTACATATATATGTGTATGCATATGGTATGTGATATTTCTCAATTATTCATAACTCTTAGTTCATATTCACGTAACAGTACTCACCTTTGTCATCTTTACTGGAATCTGCTCCTAATGTTTAGTTAAAAAGAGAAAAAACAAGATTGAGTACTGATTTTTTATTGACAGCTAGATACTGAAAGAGCTATACTTGCAGAGAATTGTATAGACCTCGACTGTATTTTTTACTTTTAAATTCAAACTTTGTGTACATTGAAAAGACAATCTGTCATTCACACAACTTTGGTAACTTCTTACATTTATAAAATACATCGAAAAAAACAATGTAGTTTTGAGAAGGAAAGTGCATTTGTTTTGGAGAAGGTTTAAGGAGTGACCATTCTTGCGTCTGGAGATTTACAATACATTTTGACTTTCAAATACCCTATTAGAGGAAAAGCCACTTGTTCTGCCCAGTAGATGAAGCATTTGATTCCACAAAATAGGGGCCCCTCATACTATACATACCAATGCAACATACTGTATAAATGACTAGATTAAAATAAACATCTATATAAATTAAACAAAAACTACACCGTTAATCGTTAGTCTACAGATGATATATAGCGTTCAATAGATTTGGATAAATCCAGTATTGCTACTGTATTTCAATGAACACAGAGAATTTAAGATCTATGACTATCTTGACTTCAAACCATGTAATTTGTGGCTATCCTGGAAAAGATAGCTGGACCCCACAAACGTCCCCCATGCACCATTACATAATAAATGCTACAGTAAAAAATTACACTTCTACAAACAAATTATATTTACCACAGATTTATATGGAGAGAACCAATGCTCAGTTGTTACAGCTAATCAACACAAAGCTGTTGCCAAGAAGACAGGTGTCTGCAGATTACAAATGACTTCAAACCACTAGGATAAAAAAGAAAAGTCTGCCCTCTGGAAGGGGCAGTTTAAACCCCAAAAACAGTTACCCATAGTGGGCTTTCAAACACACAAATTAAATGTCAGAGCATAATAAACAGCCTTAAAATCTTAATATCAGACTTGGAGTATAGAGTGGATGCCCATAGCTTGAAAACTCTTTATTAAATTTAAAAAAATGAATGTAGACTCCTGAACTAACAGTTACGACATGAAATTGGTGTTTTTTGTGCTCATGCCTGTCATTAACATGAATTGGGTGACCTAGAGAATGAGCAACTCTATTGCAATTATGATTACAAACTGGCAGGTAATTAAATATCTTAAATAGCATATTAATTTCATATACCAAATGTAAGAAAGACCTTTGTATAGAACTTACTTGCAATAACTTCTATTGGATAAGATCTGGAGTGAAGAATGGATGGTTATTGTCTGAAAACTGGAGAGATTACTTAAGTATGTATTTGTTTCTGAATAAGACCCCACGGTTAAACATGTTCTGCAAAATGTTTACATAAAACTAAAAAAGGGAGAAAAAGGTATTGTCTTTATCGTAGCCTACACCTTACCAATCACATGATGTCAGTACAGTTTTGCAGCTTAGAAGACTAGTACACAGTCCTGATAAAAAGATTTTCTTCCTTTAGCAATTGGCATTGAGAAATATATTTAAAAGAAAGCTAAACATGGGATTGTTTTTAACAACTGAAACATGACTCTAAGTCACACGTGCTTATAACCAAACAAACATTTAAATTCTAGTCAACTGGCATGTACCTGGACGAGGTTACAAACATTTTATTGCCACTTAAAATAAACTACTACATCACCGCAAAACAGAATATTCCTTCACAACATTCTCTGACTTATGAAAGGTTGGATTCAGAATAAAGCAGCCAAACAAAAGTAGTAAGTAAAAGAACTCCTCTCTCTCATCCTAGTTAATCACGCATCAGCAGGGTCCGCTTGTCGGCATGCCCGTCTCCATTTGGTGGTTTGAACCAAATTTTTGAGCTGACGTTGCCATTAAATGCGACCGAGAATACTCCAACCTGCCGTCGGAAACTAGAGCAAGCGCTACTTTAAATTCTAGCTCTCCACACCTTACAGAAAGCAGCCTGCTTGCCAGAGTAGCCCTTCTCTAGTGACATCTCCTCTGTGTCTTGTTGTGCAGGTATCTTTTCTTGAGTCTTTTCACTCAAAATATCAGTCTGTATTCCCTATAGTCTGTTATTATGTTTATGTATTTTGGTCAGTGACGATATATTGCTGATAAAACACTTATGTATAATATGCAGTCCAGTCTCACAGTTTTCCTGTCAACAGTAGCTCATTTGAAATCTACTGTAGCAACATCCATGAACTAACAGATTAAAAATGTTTATTTGGAATATATACAGTATATATAAAACTAGTTCATTCATACCTTAATAATCTTTTTAAATAATACATGTATTTTAATGTATATTTAATGTGCTATTTTAATACATTACTGTTTATTGACTTTTTTCTCCTTAAAGTAACAGGTACGTAGAGCTAAATAAAATTTCATTCTTTAAAAAAGTAGAGACGTTTATCCTGTAAATTTAAATGTCTGTCTTCCTATTAACATACCTAAGAGAACTATTTTTAAGCTGAGTAAGGCATTCATTGTATTTTGTTTTTCTCACATCAATGAGGAAATTTAGTCAAATGCAAGGTATAACTGATAAACATCAATATAAATCTATAAGGGAAGTACAGATAAGTAACAAGGTTGAAAGATAAACAATTTTGTTGTTTCTTTCCCCTATCTGGGACTTTGGCCTAATTAGCACACAACCCAAAAGACTAAAAAAAAATAGGCATACCTATTAAAGAGACCAGGCCATAAAGTAAGGTGCAGAGCAGCAGACAAGCACAGAGGCGGCTCATGATTTCCCAAAGATATGAATATCTTTCTCACGTGAACTCTAAAAAATAAAAGTTAAAGTCATAAGACATACAGTTACATAGATTTCACACTATTGTATTTTTAAAATAATACTGTACTATACCTGTTTGGAAGCTCCTTCTTCTTCTACTTGTTTGGAAATTGTAGCCAGAAGACTGAATATCTATCAGCATCACCATTCAGAATTTGTTCTTCACACTCTTGCTCTATATGTCATACTTTGCTGCTTTTTTCCCCTATTGCATCTTGAATTTTAGCACCCAAGTGTGCAAACAAAAATTCAAAGACTCAATTATGTGAAAAGAGTCCCTGTACCAATGTTGGACAAAAATGCAATCCCTGAAAAAAGAGCTTGCTTTAAACGATGGGAGAAATCAACCTTTTAAAACTTGAAAAAACAAATGTATGAATGTGAATCAGTATTTGAATTAAATGACTAGAAAAATTATTTTTCATTGCACCATTTTGGATGACTGTAGATTCAAGAACTTCGTTTCAAGAAGCATGAAGAAACAATCAATGAAAATGTAAAAAAAAACATACTTAGTTTTACTATTGCATATTCACTTTAATGGTCATGTTGTACTTCTTACCATTTATCCTTATGAAGCAAGGTAAAATGATTAAAATGTTAACAAAATGGTATGCCATTATAAGGACATTTAACTCTGATTGACCAAGAGACCTTGATTATCATCAATCATCAAACTTTTAACCACAGTGTAGTGGTAATTGTAAGGCTGTCCTGCAAACGGCACATGACATGTTCATTTTATACGCCAATTCAGAAGCAGGTGAGAAAAAGCAAATCACTGGAAATTTACAACAGATTCAGAGCAGATTT